AGCCGGGGCAAGCACATAGGCAGTTACCAATTAAGCCCTATAATTAAGAAGACTGGATAGTCATGTGAGTAAAGGCGGGTCTGGTCAAGCAGGGGATGCACGGAGAGTAAGAGAAGAGTCATCTTGAATGGCCTGACCATACAGCTATTTTGCCAGTGTTCATTTTATTGTACCACTTGCTAACCCTGGGCAGCTGGTTTTCTATGATTTTCTGTGATTCCTTCAGTGAACAAAAGGATCCAGGTGGAATTTACCTCCTTTTGTTTCCCATGTGGTTACTTTCCCATTCTTTTCTTTTTTTGGCAATATTATTTTTTAATATTCCTCAGCAGTGATGATGGAATAGGCTTTATTGCTGGGACCTGGTTTTGAGTGTTTTGGCCTAAAGATTCAGATGAAGAGGTTGGTTCAGCCCAGCAGTTTAGAGGTGCTTAACCCTTCAGCTGAGTCTATGAGCCCATTATAACTTAGGTTTCTGAGTATTTCTGGTTCCTAAAGCTGAAATGAGTCTTTTTGGTTCTCAGTGGTATTTTATTTCCCACTGTTGTCTTATCTGTCCCAAATAAGACAACTTTCTCAAAGCACAAGGCTTTGAGAAAGTTCAGCATATTTTGGCAAATAAACAGCGCAGCTCCTGATGGAGACCTGATTGCAAAGTGAAATCACACCGTGGGATCCAGAGCAGCCGATAAAGGGGTCAAGGCACAGCTTGTCACTTCTTCCTGTTTGACCTAGATTCTCTCTTTAAAATCCTAATATAAACTCTGTAGGGATTACGATAGCAGCTTAAATGGAACTGGAAATCACCCTTCTGCAGCAATGTCATTAAGAAGTGGACATGAAGTGTTCTTAATTCATGCCATGTAGCTGAGGAGACAGTGACACGAAGCAAACTGAGAATCATGCAGTGTCATAGAAAGCCAATGGATAAATTATTTTGTAGGAGTTATAATGATATTAAAATACTATATCCCCTTAAATCATTTCAAACTATATGCACAATTGCTTTACAATCAAATTGTTATTGATGCTTCTTGGTAAAGATGGGCGATAATGAACAGATCACAGAAGCTCACCATATTATAAGCTAGTAAGATGAACAATAACAAAAAAAGAATAGATGAAAGCAGTCAAAAAGTTCACAACAACAACAACGAGACAAGAGAAAAGCCATGACCTTATGTCATAAATTTAGAAGATGACAACCAAGAAAAGAAACAGAGGAGGGTTAGTGAGGGCTCTTCTCCCCTCCCTCCCCTCCTGCAAGCATCACTGTTGAGTCAGAAAAGTCCTGAGACTTCTGCTTCTACCTTCTAACTATGGAGAGAAATAGACTAATTAAATATTGTTACTGTCTTGTGACTAGGGAAGGGTGGGGGAGTAGGAAAAGCTACTGGGTAGATGGAGGAAATGGGAAAACCTGGACTGACTCTCTGGTAGAACACAGGTTCCCAGAGCTCCAGGCCAAGTTTGAGAAAGAATCTATGTCATAAAAATATCTACCATGAAGTAGAAGAAGCTCTTATTAAAGGGGTAAACTCCATTCGTGAAGATTTAACACAATCTCAGAGGAGATAGCAGAGTATTTTTCCAGGAACAGCTGCAAACAGATTTATCTGAGTTGTTCTCACATTCAAGATACAGGAAAGTGGCTAGACCTCAATTCCCAGTCTTCAAATAGAATTCAGAGGCAGGGTAGATTAATGAACTAATTTGAGGCACAATATGAAATTTATATTTGAATTTACAATAATAGATATAATAGAAATTACATTTCTTCAACCTCCATAGAGCCAAAAGCCTCTCTCTTAACCTAGCCGTGAAATTCAAAGAGTGAAAAGTGCCCTAAAACCCAGGAAGATGAGAACCAACTCCCTTCTCAGTGGTGAGTGCCATGAGGCATTCTGATGGGAGATCCAGAGATCACTAAGAGAGATTAGTGGAAAAAAAAAAGGTAAGAACACGACAGTGGATCAGGGAGAGTGAGCATTAAGAAGAAAGTGGGCAGAGAAGGAAGGAAGGGAGTGAGATCTCCAAGGAGCCCCATCAAAGGTAGGGCAGGGTCTGCCTGGACCACCACAGCACAGCCAAGTTAAGGGGCACCACCTGGGGCAGAGTTTGAGTGCCAATCTATCAGGAAATATAACAAGATGAAGGAAACCACCCAGAACTCCTCTTCCAGACAACCATGTATGGTTGGAAGAAACGTTTGGATAACTTGTGTTAAAAGATAAACTGAGGGCTTCCCTGGTGGCGCAGTGGTTGAGAGTCCGCCTGCCAATGCAGGGGAGACGGGTTCGTGCCCTGGTCCGGGAATATCCCACATGCTGTGGAGTGGCTGGGCCCGTGAGCCATGGCCGCTGAGCCTGCGTGTCCGGAGCCTGTGCTCCGCAACGGGAGAGGCCACAACAGTGAGAGGCCCGCGTACCGCAAAAAAAAAAAGATAAACTGAGGCATATTTAAAAGTTTAAGGGTTTATTTGCGCAGAAATAGATTCCAATCAAGCATCACCAAAACACAGTGATTAGGAGCGCTCCACCGATAGGAGCCAGGAGAAAGAAATTAATTATTTGATTGCCTGTAGCTTAAAGCCTAGTCAGCTGTTTGTGATTGATTGTTCTAAGCGTTTTGATTTTGTAACCTTGAGGCATTTACAGGCTTAAATTTTGGTTTGCTTTCATAAACCCCCACTACATTAGCGCCACATCAGTCTAAGAGCTTCCTTGTTTAACTATTTTAACGCTTTTTTGGGGTGGGGATTGAGAACTCCTAAAAGATGGTCCCAAAGGAGAGGAGGTCAGGTTAAGAGAGTGCCTGAATATTTGGGGCCAGGCTGGGAGTGCTCAGGACATGGAGGAAAGACAGTGAACTTTTAAGCTAAGAAGTGGCTTTTCACTTTCTCAGCTTAAAAATGAGATTCAAAAGCTTCAGCTGAAATTGCAAATACTTCCTGAACTTCACCAAGAACCTGAAATGCAACTTTGCAGAAAATTAGTAGAGGAGGGTATTTACCACTTGCAAATAAAGAAAAAAATAACTTCCCAAACTGTATGAAAACAGCTGAATACTTATCCACGGGGATGGCTGAAGACCTGGAAAAAGAATGAGAAAGAATGACTTCCTTCTATCAAGGGCAGATTATCTCCAGTGAGAAAAACCTCAAGAAAGATGGTTGGCAGTTCTGTCAACTGAGAGAAAGCTCAAAGAGCTAAGGTGGGGAGGGGTGGGGTGGGGGGAGATCATAATAGACAAAATTGGTGGAAACAGAGTTTAAATTCCAGCTTTTTCCAAGTGGCCCTTTTGCCCCTGCAGTTCACGTATAGTCCTGGACAGAGGCCCGAGAGGATCAGGGGAACCGCTGGATAATCAAATCCTCGAGAAAAAGGGTAACAGTGTGAGGACCCAAGGAGCCAGGAGACATGCAGGCTTTTTGTTTTGTTTTGTTTTGTTTATCACCTAGTCTTTACTCTTTTCTTTTTATCATCTTTATTGGAGTATAATTGCTTTGCAATGGTGTGTTAGTTACTTCTGTATAACAAAGTGAATCAGCTATACATATACATATATCCCCATATCTCCTCCCTCTTGCGTCTCCCTCCCTCCCACCCTCCCTATCCCACCCCTCGAGGTGGACACAAAGCACCGAGCTGATCTCCCTGTGCTATGTGGCTGCTTCCCACTAGCTATCTATTTGACATTTGGTAGTGCATATAGGACATGCAGGTTTGATTCAGCTTTCACAGCAGGGACCCCTGAACATCCACAGCCACAACAGGGCATCTGTTTTCTCTTTTTTAAAATAATTTTATTTCTTTTTAGTTTAACTGTGGTTATTTAACTGATGCTAGTTTTGCTCTTATTGAGGTTTGATAGAATTATATTTCCCCAAAAAAAATGTTTTGTGAGTAATTAATGCTTATGAACATCTTATTTCAACTACCCTGAACACTCTAGAATTTGTTAAATATAATTATAAGTATAGGGACTTCCCTGGTAGTCCAGTGGTAAAGAATCTGCCTTCCAATGTAGGGGACGCAGGTTCGATCCCTGGTCGGGGCACTAGGATCCCACATGCCGTGGGGCAACTAAGCCTGCGCACCACAACTACTGAGCTCAGGCGCCTCAACGAGAGCCCGCGTGCCACAAACTACAGAGCCCACGTGCCCTGGAGCCTGCATGCCACAACTAGAGAAGAGAAAACCCCACACCACAACTAGAGAGAAGCCCGCGCACCACAACGAAAGATCCCGCATACCTCAATGAAGATCCCACATGCCACAACTAAGACCCAATGCAGCCAAAAATAAATAAATAATTTTTTTAAAAAAATTATAATTATGGCATTTTGATTGAATAATCCAAAATTGAAGTTTTATGTAACCAGGTGGGGTCATTTTAAATAAAAAAGACCATTTTTATAGGTTATGAGGATGTTATTTAAAATACGTAAAAGTCATTTAATTTACCTCAATAAGTTTCATTGGTTTTAAAAGCAATATGCACAACAACCACAATACTGGAGCTAAACTTTTTATGGTTTAGCCTAAATTTATAGATTAATTTAGAGGAGTTGACATTTTGCAACCATTTGCATTTTATTTTGCAATTTCGTTTTAATCTTTGTTATTTTGTTCAGGTTATTCTATGTTGTTTAATGTTTCTAAACTTTATGTAGTCAATATGAAAGTTTTCTCTTTAAAAAAATTAACCCGGTTACTTATTTTATATAATATGTACAATTAATGTGTTCCAGAATTTCATTTATAATTCAATCGTTCAGTAGTCTGAATGCATTTTTCTGTAAAAACACTGTCAGATTCTATGATTAACCACACCTATGCTATATAAGCATACCTATAGCATACCTATACAAGCCTGTTTAAACCTCAGTGCAACTGAAATGCTATACATTCAACGTGAAGTAGTAGATTCTGTGCACTACCTGGTTAAGAAGCAATCTTAAAAGTATCTTTCATCTCATGTTTGACAAGAACATTTACCTAGCAGAGGATGAGGAGGCAGACGGAGGCTCCCAGAAAATTCCAAGGGCTTCAGAGTTGGTGGTACTGGTCCTCAACTTTATATTTTCTTTTATGTGGGTCACACTGCATTTATTAGCCAAGACTAAGTTCATTTTGGTAACATCCGATGAACCTAAGAGAGAAAGAGAGAGAGAGAGAGAGAGAGGTCTTAAGGTTACTAGGCACAAATTGAGTATAGTAGAAAGGAGTTGTTAAAGAGACTGTGAGAAGGCAATTATCTGAGGATTTACTGAACCATGACAAATGAAATGGTGAAGAAAAGAGGAGGACTTTTACTGAGGGTTGACACACATAGAGTAAAATCTTGATTATTTTCTGACCTGACTAGGCTTCTTTTTCCAGAACAATGTAATATCTCCAATGTTTATAGTTACCCTGCTTGCCCTATATTGCCTATTTATAGATCTAGTTTCAATTTGTTAGTTTTTCGCTTTTTTGTTTTGTTTTTTACTCACGAATCCTTTCTGAAGATCCTAATGGCAAGGCTGCTAATGACTGCCTTCATAGAAGGCAGAGGACGGAGGAAGTCCAAATTAGCTCTGTTTTTGTTTTTTAACATCTTTATTGGAGTATAATTGCTTCACAATGGTGTGTTAGATTCTGCTGTATAACAAAGTAAATCAGCTATACGTATACATATATCCGCATATCCCCTCGCTCTTGCATCTCCCTCCCAACCTCCCTATCCCACCCTTCTAGGTGGTCACAAAGCAACAAGCTGATCTCCCAGTGCTATGTGGCAGCTTCCCACTAGCTATCTATTTTACATTTGGTAGTATATAGATGTCCATGCCACTCTCTCACTTCGTCCCAGCTTACCCTTCCCCCTCCCAGTGTCCTCAAGTCCATTATCTACATCTGTGTCTTTATTCCTCTCCTGCCCCTATGTTCTTCAGAACCTTTTTTTTTTCTTTTACATTCCATATATATGCGTTAGCGTATGGTATTTGATTTTCTCTTTCTGATTTACTTCACTCTGTATGACAGACTCTGGGTCCATCTACCTCACTACAAATAACTCAACTTTGCTTCTTTTTTATGTCAAGTAATACTCCATTGTATATATGTGCCATGTCTTCTTTATCCATTCATCTGTTGATGGACACTTAAGTTGCTTCCATGTCCTGGCTATTGTAAATAGTGCTTCAGTTAACATTGTGGTACATGACTCTTTGAATTATGGTTTTCACAGGGTATATGCCCAGTAGTGGGATTGCTGGGTCATATGGTAGTTCTATTTTTAGTTTTTTAAGGAACCTCCATACTATTCTCCATAGTGGCTGTATCAATTTACATTCCCACCAACAGTGCAAGAGAGTTCCCTTTTCTCCACACTCTCTCCAGCATTTATGGTTGGTAGATTTTTTGATGATGGCCATGCTGAGTGGTGTGAGGTAATATCTCATTGTAATTTTGATTTGCATTCTCTGATGATTAGTGGTGTTGAGAATCTTTTCATGTGTTTGGTGGCAATCTGTATATCTTCTTTGGAGAAATGTCTATTTAGGTCTTCTGCCCATTTTTGGATTTGGTTGTTTGTTTTTTTGATACTGAGCCCCATGAGCTGCTTGTATATTTTGGAGATTAATCCTTTGTCAGTTGCTTCATTTGCAAATATTTTCTCCCATTCTGAGGGTTGTCTTTTCATCTTGTTTATGGTTTCCTTTGCTGTGCAAAAGCTTTTAAGTTTCATTAGGTCCCATTTGTTTATTTTTGGTTTTATCTGCATTTCTCTAGGAGGTGGGTCAAAAAGGATCTTGCTGTGAGTTATGTCATAGAGTGTTCTGCCTAAGTTTTACTCTAAGAGTTTTATAGCGTCTGACCTTACATTTAGGTCTTTAATCCATTTTGAGCTTATTTTTGTGTATGGTGTTAGGAAGTGTTCTCATTTCATTTTTTTACATGTAGCTGTCCAGTTTTCCCAGCACCACTTATTGAAGAGGCTGTCTTTTCTCCATTGTGTATTCTTGCCTCCTTTATCAAAGATAAGGTGACCATATGTGCATGGGTTTATCTCTGGGCTTTCTATCCTGTTCCATTGATCTATATTTCTGTTTTTGTGCCAGTACCATACTGTCTTGATTACTGTAGCTTTGTAGTATAATGTAAAGTCAGGGAGCCTGATTCTTCCAGCTCATTTTTTCTTTTTCAACATTGTTTTGGCTATTTGGGGTCGTTTGTGTTTCCATACAAATTGTGAAATGTTTTGTTCTAGTTCTGTGAAAACTGCCAGTGGTAGTTTGATAGGGATTGCATTGAATCTATAGATTGCTTTGGGTAGTAGAGTCATTTTCACAAGGTTGATTCTTCCAATCCAAGAACATGGTCTATCTCTCCATCTCTTTGTCTCATCTTTAATTTCTTTCATCAGTGTCTTATAGTTTTCTGCATACAGATCTTTGTCTCCTTGGGTAGATTTATTGCTAGGTATTTTATTCTTTTTGTTGCAATGGTAAATGGGAGTGTTTCCTTAAGTTTGCTTTCAGATTTTTCATCATTAGTGTATAGGAATGAAAGAGATTTCTGTGTATTAATTTTTATCCTGCTACTTTACCAAATTCACTGATTAGCACTAGTAGTTTTCTGGTAGCATCTTTAGGATTCTCTATATATAGTATCAGGTCATCTGCAAACAGTGACAGTTCCACTTCTTCTTTTATGATTTGGATTCCTTTCATTTCTTTTTCTTCTGTGCTGTGGCTAAAACTTACAAAACTATGTTGAATAATAGCAGTGAGAGTGGGCAAATTTGTCTTGTTCCTGATCTTAGAGGAAATGGTTTCAGTTTTTCACCATTGAGAATGATGTTGGCTGTGGGTTTGTCGTATATGGCCTTTATTATGTTGAGGTAGGTTCCCTGTATGTCTACTTTGTGGAGAGTTTTTATCATAACTGGGTATTGAATTTTGTCAAAAGCTTTTTCTGCATCTATCGAGATTATCATATGGTTTTTAATCTTTCAGTTTGTTAATATGGTGTATCACATTGATTGATTTGCGTATACTGAAGAATCCTTTCATTCCTGGGATAAACCACACTTGATCATGGTGTATGATCCTTTTAATGTGCTGTTGGACTCTGTTTGAGGATTTTTTCATCTATGTTCATCAGTGATATTGGCCTGTAGTTTTCTTTTTTTGTAACATCTTTTTCTGGCTTTGGTATCAGGGTGATGGTGGCCTTGTAGAATGAGTTTGGGAGTGTTGCTCCCTCTGCTACATACTGGAAGAGTTAGAGAAGGATCAATGTTTGTTCTTCTCTAAATGTTTGATACAATTCATCTGTGAAGCCATCTGGTCCTCGGCTTTTGTTTGTTGGAAGATTTTTAATCACAGTTTCAATTTCAGTGCTTGTGATTGGTCTGTTTCTATTTTTTATTTCTTCCTGGTTCAGTCTTGGAAAGTTGTGCTTTTCTAAGAATTTGTCCATTTCTTCCAGGTTGTCCATTTTATTGGCATAGAGTTGCTTGTAGTAATCTCTCATGATCCTTTGTATTTCTGCAGTGTCAGTTGTTACTTCTCCTTTTTCATTTCTAATTCTGTTGATTTGAGTCTTCTGCCTTTTTTCTTGATGAGTCTGGCTAATGGTTTATCAATTTTGTTTATCTTCTCAAAAACCAACGTTTAGTTTTATTGATCTTTGCTATTGTTTCCTTCATTTTTTTTTTTCATTTATTTCTGCTCTGATCTTTATGATTTCTTTCCTTCTGCTAACTTTCGGGGGTTTTTGTTCTTCTTTCTCTAATTGTTTTAGGTGTAAGTTTAGGTTGTTTACTTGAGATTTTTCTTGTTTCTTGTGGTAGGATTGTATTGCTCTAAACTTCCCTCTTAGAACTGCTTTTGCTGCATCCCATAGGTTTTTGGTCATCGTGTTTTCATTGTCATTTGTTTCTAGGTATTTCCTCTTTGGTTTCTTCCGTGATCTCTTTGTTATTTAGTAGCATATTGTTTAGCCTCCATGTGTTTGTATTTTTAACCGTTTTTTTCCTGTAATTTATATCTAGTCTCATGGCGTTGTGGTCGGAAAAGATACTTGATACAATTTCAATTTTCTTAAGTTTACCAAGGCTTGATTTGTGACCCAAGATATGATCTATGCATGGCTCTATGTTCCATGAGCACTTGAAAAGAACGTATATCTGTTGTTTTTGGATGGAATGTCCTATAAATATCAATTATGTCTACCTTGTTTAATGTGTCATTTAACACTTGTGTTTCATATTTATTTTCGTTTTGGATGATCTGTCCATTGGTGAAAGTGGGGTGTTAAAGTCCCCTACTATGATTGTGTTACTGTCAATTTCCCCTTTTATGGCTGTTAGCATTTGCCTTATGTATTGAGGTGCTCCTAGGTTGGGTGCATAAATATTTACAGTTGTTATATCTTCTTCTTGGATTGATCCCTTGATCATTATGTAGTGCCCTTCTTTGTCTCTTCTAATAGTCTTTATTTTAAAGTCTATTTTGTCAATATGAGAATTGCTACTCCAGCTTTCTTTTGATTTCCTTTGCATGGAGTATCTTTTTCCATCCCCTCACTTTCAGTCTGTATGTGTCCCTAGGTCTGAAGTGGGTCTCTTGTAGACAGCATATATATGGGTCTTGTTTCTGTATGCATTCAGCCAGTCTACGTCTTTTGGTTGGAGCATTTAATCCATTTACATTTAAGGTAATTATCGATATGTATGTTCCTATTACCATTTTCTTAATTGTTTTGGGTTTGTTTTTGTGGATCTTTTCCTTCTCTTGGACTTCCTGCCTAAAGAAGTTCCTTTAGCATTCGTTGTAAAACTGGTTTGGTGGTGCTGAATTCTCTTAACTTTTGCTTATCTGTAAAGGTTTTAATTTCTCCATCAAATCTGAATGAGATCCTTGCTGGGTAGAGTAATCTTGGTTGTAAGCTTTTCCCTTTCATCACTTTAAATATGTCCTGCCACTCCCTTCTGGCTTGAAGAGTTTCTGCTGAAAAATCAGCTGTTAACTTTATGGGGATTCCCTTGTATGTTATTTGTTGCTTTTCCCTTGCTGCTTTTAATATTTTTTCTTTGTGTTTAATTTTTGATAGCTTGATTAATATGTGTCTTGGCATGTTTCTCCTTGGATTTATCCTGTA